CCTCTCTCCTATTACACTGTATTAAAGTTACATGGTTGTGAAATCCTTGACTGCTATTTAAAACATGGATACTCATCTGGTTTTCCTTCTTCAATGCAAAGTGCATTTGATTTTTTGTAAATAACAGAAGAAAAAACAAACGGCCGCACAGAGGCAACAGAGAGAGACACTGCTATTTTAGTTCTGATTAAAATAAATATGTTTGAGTGATCCAAAGGAAGGATAAAGCGGGCAGGCAAAGAATAAAGAGAGAGAAATAGAAAATGGGTATCTGTTTTAATGCAACATCCTGAGAGAAAAAGTCAGCAGTTAGCTGTTTATGGCTGCTGAAGAGTTCACAGCCACTGTGCTTGGTGTCTGAGCATTTGTTGTAAACCTGCTGAGAGTTTACTTTTACTTATGACTCTTATTTGGCTGACTTACATCTTTTTGTTTCTAATATCACCACCCTCCACACATTTTCTATAATTACTTTTGTTCTTGAACTGTGGTTGTACTCTGAAAAGTGACTGAATAGGGGCATCTTTTACTCCAACAAATCTGCTCCCTGTGTCCATTCAGAGTCATGTCTGCTGAATGACCAATATTTTGTACTATTTTTCCCTCTATGTAGTTCTGCAGAGCCAATGCAGCTATAAGAGAGTGAGATGGATTCTAATCTGGCTGGTGCATCATCAATCAATGATTGGTCTCTGGTCCTGAAAGCAGCTCAGAGAGCCAAAGCACTAGTGTCAGCACACAGTGTTTACTGAATATCTCTGTAGAGGGGAAAGTGAGTGTGATGAAGCAGAGGGGGTGTGACCTGCATGTAGATGCTTCAGTACAATCCAGTGAGTTCAAATAATGGGCCAGATCCTAGGGAAGTGTAAAGAAGGGTAGCTTCACTGAAGTTTAGGGCACTACACTAATTTACACCAACTGAGGATTAGGCCCAAGTGTGATGTCTCCCCCTGCCCCTTACTTGTATTGTTATCCTAGAGTAGTAACTTTATTTCCTACCATCCTTCAGGGCTCTCTTCTCCTCCGCTTAGGTTACTCTGCAGCAAACTGAACCTAAATTCTGAGGCAAATTCCAGTCGACTGTGTGGCAGACTGGAAATTTACAGCAACCTGCATTAAACTAAGAAGTGCGGGGTTTGGCTGAATTCAATATGAAATACAAAACACTCATTGCAATAGGCCATGCTGTTTTGATATTAAATTCCATTTATTTTTCAGTGTCTGCATTTTCAGTTATCAATATGGTGCAGATTTTTTGCATTAACAATGTGTAGCTGCACCATAGAAGGCATAGAGGGGGAGGGAAGGGAATTCTGACCAATTGTCCCTGGGAAGCTAATTTTTCCAGTTTGGTTGTTCATGAAGAAAATGTCATTGTCCTAATTTTCATCATTCTTTCAACTAGATGAAAATGAAATAGTTGCTGCTGTAACTGTTTAAAGGCATTTCTTTGTTTTCTGCGTGTGTTTGCTTACAACTATTGTGCCAGGGTTCTTTTTTATAAGGTCTGACTCTCCCACTTAATCACATAAGACTAGTTTTATTCTCACCTTATGGTAAATTAAAATACCACTGCCCCCATCAGTCTGAGACTGAGTCAAAACTAGAAGTCTGTCGTTTATTTATTTTTAATTCAAGAAAACATTTGAATCCCCTAAATAATATTCTGAGTAATATCTGTATGGTTTGAAATAGGAATCTGAATAGCACAAGTCTAGTCTCCACTAGTGCTGCCGGCTGCTGCTATTGACTGGTCACTATAACTATGTTCACAAATGTTCTGTCCTTTCGAGGCAATAGGGAATAGCCTACCACGGTGAAGGCATGTTCATTTGGGCTGTGTATCAAATCCTGGATTGTGCTTTGCTGTATATGAGTATGTGTCAACTTGTTTTGGTTATTTTCACAATGGAAAACCCTCATTCTACCCTGCAGTGCTACAGAACAAAAACAAAAACCTGAAAGGCAGGAGGCTGGGGGATTAAGAGCACTTTGATTGCTTTTTGCTGTTTTCTGGTATTTAGAGGCAACTACTGATTTAGGGAAAGGAGAGAGCCCTCCCGATACAGTACCTGTGCAAAGTGCCCTAACAGATTGTCAATTTGTTCACTGACATAATAAGCCATTTCTCTTCATCACTAGGCTACTGTGTGGAGTTGCAGCATTAAAACCATGTGAATGGTGGGTAGGTGCTGTAGCCTAATGTATCTGACATCAGTATGCTCAAAGGCAGTTGCAATTATACAGATTGGATTCTTGGGCACGCTTGCCTCTGATGTTTAACCCTTCCTATCTACCATCTCAAGAGATAAGTGTTCAGAAATAAGGGCCAGGATTGTCTTTAGCTGCTGAGAGTTCCAGCATGGCACTTTCTGGCTCAGTTCTGTTGCTCCATCCAGATCCTCCTCCTTCCCCTACTCCTGAGTCAGTTCAGTTCTCTTTGCTTTACTACAGGGATCCACAACCTTTGGCACGCGGCCCGCCAGAGTAAGTCCCCTGGCGGGCCGGGATGGTTTGTTTACCTGCCGTGTCCGCCGGTTCAGCCAATTGCAGCTCCCAGTGGCTGCTGTTTGCCACTTCAGGCCAATAGGGGCTGTGGGAAGTGGCGTGGGCCAAGGGATGTGCTGGCCGCCACCCCCATTGGCCTGGAACGGTGAACCACAGCCAGTGGAAGCTGCGATCGGCAGAACCTGAGGATGCATCAGGTAAACAACTGGCTCGGCCTGCCAGGGGGCTTACCCTATCCCTGCTTTACTCCATCTCAGCCCCTCTGACCACCCTCCCTTGTGACTGGCAGCTCACAGTTGCTGTCCCAGATATCAGTCAAACCATCCTTAGCCTATCTATTGTCCTTATGTGGAGGATCTGAAAGCTGAACATCTTACTTGCCCAGAGAGCACTTCTACTTGTCCTTCTGGACAACAGGATTTTCCCCAGTCTGACCTCTGAAGTGGTCAGCTGGTAGTGGACAGTTGAGCAGGGTTGGGACCTGGGGTGTATGGGAGCCACTTTGTGATTGTGGGGTACACATATTGGGTTGAAGTTTTCAGCTGTACTGTTGGCATCTAAACACTCCCATTTACCTTGGACTACATTTATTTCTGTGGTTTTTGCAACCATTAGGGCTAGAAGAAAATTAAATGAGTTTTTAGATTGGAGCTCTAATTCCAGGGAAGGGGTGGACTATGCGGCCATGGGATCACAAATATTCATGGTCCTGATCATGAGTAAATAAAGGATTGAGTTCAGGGGCTGTAGCTGTGGGTCACTGTTGCTCTCACCTGTATAAATGAGCTCTGACTTTCCATTGCAAGACTGTATTCTTTACTCAGTTACCCTGTGTAACCCCACTGAATATGGCTATGAATATTGATACCATGCAAATGTGGGGAAAAACACTGGAGGCATGGGTCCATCAAAGGCCCAGTCCTGCTCTCAGTTAAGTTAATTGGTGGCTAAACTTTCATTACAAAGGAAGCAGAACCCAAGTGAGCTGGTTTGAATACCAAATGGTTCATACTGAGTCACTCTTATTATATATACATTATGTAGATTTTTGCTTAATGAATCCATCTAGCAAAGTTAGCTTACTAATACAGAACCCCCCTCTTTAAAACTTTTCCCTCTCAAAGATATCCTTTTTGTTGGTTTTGAACTCTTTACAATGGAAATTAATTGTGAACAGGGAAAAAGAGCTCACAAATTGCAAAAACATGTTCTTTTACTCAAACAATTGCTTTCCTGTCTAAATGCTATTTGAAATGCTATATGGAAAACTTACGCAAATGGTGTTTAAAGCTTTTATGAACTGGTCTCTTAATGGCTGTAAAAGCGATATGCTTTAAATTTCTTTTGTATGATTAATATCAGCTATTTTCCATTTACTTTCATTTTTAAGTACTCTAAACTCTTGTCATAAAATGGGGAAATGGCTTGTGTATTTAAGTCTAGTAATTCTTCTAACCTTTATGCATTTACTCATTTTTTCAAGTAGTCTACATCACAATTATAGATTTTTTTTTTTAACATGAAACTTCTACAATATGTACTATTACTGGGCTTTGTTTCCATTTTTCATCTTGGAAAGTGTTTTACTTTCCCCGTTAAATACTCAGTGCATATTTTTAACTCTTTACAACATAAAAGCTTCTTTTATTTGTTGAAGGGGTAGACAATGTATAACTTTCAATTGCCAAGAATCACACAGGAGAATGCATTACTGAATTATTTGATTTTTGTATTAAATTATCTTGTACTGGAAGAAATAGGATTTCCTAACGTGACTTCTCACTTCTGTCTGAATATCGCCCTAGCAGCAAAGTTAAATAACTTAATGATATACTCTTTCAAATTGATACTTTGTTTGTAATTTCAATTATGATTCTATGTTCCTTATCAGTTGAGAGTTCTACTACAGACATAAACCAAAGATGTTCCTCTGATATTATTAGTGAAGGATTAACATATACAATGAAGCATTATCAGGGTGAATGAATTTAAAATGCCATATTCATCGAAAAGAGACTGACACAGAGATTATGGGAAATGTGGTACTATTTTTTCCCCTTTTGGAAAGAATTAATATACACTTTAAAGCATTTTAAAATAATAAAACTAGTTGATTTTTTTTTTACATTCCTATGAATTTTTTCACCACATTGCATAAAACTATGAGCTATTACTTAAAAATCTGTTACTGGTAACTGTCAAATATCCTGTAATTCTTTTATAAAAGTGTCAGTACTTGTTGGGGAAAATATAACACCATTCAAACTGCCCCAAATAACTATTTTTACGCTTCACTATGTTGACCTCCAGGATCACAAATCATCTGTCATGCAGAGAAGCTATTAAACCAAACCAAGGAATGAAACCAGTTTCCCTTCTTGGTGGTTTAAAGGAACATTTGGTATCGAATAAGCACAGTGTTGCAACTCTGACATGCTGTTGTACAAACTTTAAAGACTTGAAAACAGTTTAAGGCATTATATAGTACTTACCATATAAAAAGCAGCAACGCGTGGAATCTATGTATGGTCCCCAAACTGTAGTCAATAGCTGATTAAAATGATGATCCTTTATGGTATTATTCTGAAGTGCATAATCTGAAATTAGAGTGCATTTATTGACAGTTACAATATTTGTTCTGTTGAAAGAAAGATTTCTCATACACATTAACCACAAAATCAATGTTTGTTGCTTCCTACAGAATACAATGACAATGATTTATTCTCAGAAAGCATTTTCAGTTGGGTAACATATACTGTGCTACATTAAGAGCTTAGACTCCATGTCATGAAACAAGATTCCAGCACACTGAGTGAAAGAAACAGATGGGAGCAAAAGAAGGACAGATGGGTAACAACAACAACAACAAAAGAAAAGGAAAGAAAAGTAGACTACAATAACCATGTTCAATACCTGTGTGTTAACTTGCATGAACCAATTTTCTTTCAGTTTATTGAAAATGTTAGCAAGGTTGGCAAATATCTGAAACCGCAGTAAGTTAGTGCACGTTAGGGAACTTTTAGTAGTCAGCTGAAGGTCCCCAAGGACACTTAGTGCTCCAGCACACTGTGCACTGCAGATTTACAGCCCAGCTTGCTGCTCAATAAGTGTTTGTGCAGACATGTTCTTAGACGGGTTCCCAGGACTGTCTAAATAACAGTGGAAGCCTCTCTAGCTCCCGAAGCAGCTCAAGATCAGGAGTGTGTAAATATGGCTTAGAAGCACATTGCAGAATCTCACCATACATGTCTACAGATCATTTACACTGCATGGCACAAGCAGGTATAGTTTGTTGCTCCACCAACATGCTTAACCCTGAGTTGTTTGAAGAAGACCAAACCCTATAGTTCAAAGGTCAGTTTCAGACTCCAATCCTACTCAGTCTTTGGCCCCTCTGGTAAGTGCTAGTCTGTTGTTTTTTATGAACTCCAGTCCCTTAGAAATTGGACTGGGATCATCAACTCAATTTCACTGCTAGACTGTTTTAGTACATCTAGAAATTACTTGGACTGACACTGATTACAGTTTGTAAAGAGCAAAAAATTATTTAAATGTTGTAATGTTAAAAACATTTGTGCAATGAGGCAAAAACATAGCTCTGCATACAATATTTTACACGTAACCAAATTGCTTACGTGATGTCTCATATTTTTGGCCAATGAGAAGTATCATAAGTTGAACACTCATCATAGGAGAAAAACTGTCTGAAAAAGGTTTGGTATATAACTTTTAGAATGAATTCTGTGATCTTTCTATGTCATACAGGGTTTATCCTTGATTTCCCTTTTAAAGTTTTTCTATAAGCATTTTGAAACAAAAATTGACTTCTTTTTCTTAATCCTTCAAAATAATAATGAATAATTGTTAACAAAACCTTCCACTAATTTAAATAGCAAGGTTTTTGCTAAACTCACAAAAACATGGAACCCAGGTAGAAGCTACCAAAGGACCCTTTATATCAATCCTATCTATATCCAGAGTAGCCACTTCAGTGCAAACAATGTGTAACCCCGATACACTGTTTTGAGAGCATCTGTCTTAAAGGATCTTATGTGGTGCACTAAGCAGGCACAATAGGAGCTAATATAAAGTGGCATGTCATGTGCAGAAAAACTACCTTGAAGAAAATATTTTTAATTAGTACCTTATCCAGTAACCTAGGATCAACAGTGAGGGCATTCAGTGAGGAAAGGGCAGGATTACCTGATTTAAATGAAAAACCTTTATTCTGTGTGCCAGGTTTGCCACTGGCATAATCACCACAACAACTGTACTCAAAGTTGGCCCTATGATGCATCTTGCTTTCATTTGAAGAAGTCAGTTCTGGCTTGTGTTTGCCCAGAAATTATACTGTATTAGAACACAACCCTGAGAAGTCATAGTAACTTTCATGATGTTAAACACATGATGTTAAACACTCAGTCCCTGTCTACTCTGAGTATTGTGTTTAACATCATGTCAGCTGGTTGTGGTTTACCATCCCTGGAGGGCATGATGCTAACTTTGTGTACACCAGGGATCAGCAACCTTTGGCATATGGCATGTCAGGGTAAGCCCCCTAGAGGGCCGGGCCGGTTTGTTTACCTGCCACATCCACAGGTTCAGCCAATTGCAGCTCCTACTGGCCATGGTTCACCGCTCCAGGTCAATGGGGGCTGCAGGAAGTGGTGCGGGCCGAGAGATGTGCTGGCTGCTGTTTCCCGCAGCCCCCATTGGCCTGGAGCAGCAAACCACGGCCAGTAGGAGCTGCGATCAGCTGAACCTGCGGATCCAGCAGGTAAACAATCATCCTGGCCTGCCGGGGAACTTACCCTATCCCTGGTGTACACTGCGCATTTAACATTGTATTAGTTACCAAGATTCCTCATGATTGCGATAGAACACAATGTAATTTATCACTGTAGACAAGCCCTTTAAGAACGTCCCCTTCCTTTCAAGTAACTTTTTGTTGGTTTGGTGGTGTTCTTAGTGCTCCATCGCGCTCTCAAGTAGAATCATAGAATCTCAAGGTTGGAAGGGGCCTCAGAAGGTCATCTAGTCCAACCCCCTGCTCAAAGCAGGACCAATCCCCAATTTTTGCCCCAGATCCCTAAATGGCCCCCTCAAGGATTGAACTCACAACCCTGGGTTTAGCAGGCCAATGCTCAAACCACTGAGCTATCCCTCCCCCCAAGTATCTTCAAAAGGAGCTGTTTTGAGAGGAGGAAAATACTAAAGGGATATTCTTCTATAAGAGTAGGATGAACCCAGCAGTATGGAGGTAGGGCAAAGCAAGAGGGGAAAATTACTTGTTTTAGTTTTATGATTGAACTAGAGCATAGATCATTGTCCCATGTTGTCTTCAAGAAGAAAACTTTTGTAAGCTAAGACCTGCTTTCTATATTGCATTGCTGAATCATGCTCAGAAACAGCTTTGAGTTTATAGAGTTAGGTAATGTGAACTGTTTTTATGAATTTTTACCATATTAATCCACATTTTTGGCTAAAGGGGCTGCCATACCTCAGGCACAATGACTACTAAGCTCTTCTGCTTCAGCTTTTCTTAGCATCTTTTGTCTCCATACTATATTTAGCCCACCTAAACCTTAGCCATTCCCCTTTCTGTATCTGGAATAAAAAGATATGAAATACCATATATCTCATAAGATGGGAAACACACTATCCAGCTTTCTTAAAACCATCTGCCCAATGCAGACAGTTAATAATCTAACCGGTGTCCAAACAGTAATGAAGTCTTTCCAATTTTTGTAGTTTAAAGATAAAGGAAAGGAATTATAACCTAATCCTTTTGAAACCACAGAATTGCTTTGGGAATGAAATCGGGACAAGAATTTACTACTGCACTTCTGGAAGCAAAAAAAAAAAAAAAAAAATCCCCAACCCTGGCACTGGCAGACAGTCTTAAATTTCTATCAGAAGTAATGGCCACTAATCAGATTTGCCTTAATAGATAAACCCCTCAACCCAGGAGTTCTACAGGGAAACCTGGCAGAATATAAAGTCAGGAACATCTCCAAGCAGAAGTACCTTTTCTAACTATAAGAGTGAATCTAATAGCAGTGCAAAATCCAATTGTTTCAGTCTCTAAAGGATAGACTGATACACTTAAGTGTGCTGGAGGAAGTTCCTGAAAGGGCCATGAAGCAATGGGAGCCGTGGGAGGAATTTGGGTTGATCTTGCCAAAATTCCTCCGAGGGGCTGCCAAGTATTACATCCTACTATGATAGCTACTCCATCCTTGGAGCGATGCAAAATGCTTCTCTCTATGTGCCCAGCCAGTACTGCCAGGGCCCAGCACTCACCCTACCCACTTTCAGGTAGATAGTATTTATTGTGGCACTGTAAAAGAGATGGGTCTGTACTCCCCAGCCACATTATGGCTGGGTCCAAAGCAGGGATGAGGCAATGCAAAGTTACATTGTGGCAGTAAATCTAACTTCACATGTAGTCATGAAGAAGGTACTGTCTGTCTCTGTCTAGGCCTGTGTCTAATCTTAGGCACATATACTGTTCTTTAAGAATAGTCTTGGCTTCTCTCTGTCTTTCATCGGACATTTTTTTTACTATGAATTCTGTAACTAGAGAAGTTCTAAACTATTTTGAGCTCTTCAAACTGTAGAGGAGGTGTTTTATGTCAAAAGGAAAAAGATTCAGATAGACTTCTTTGATCTGTTCTAATAATGGCTCTAAAGTAACTGACAAACATCACTGCTTTTCTTGTACAATCCCACATGAGACTCTGCTATTAAACAGAGCCTTCATATTTAAAGATGCCTCTTTATGAAACTTTGGTTTTTACACTGGCATTATCATGCCAAAAATACTATAAAATAATCTTCTCTTTTTCAGAATTGTCTACCAAAACACGTGTGTGTGTACGCGCATCTGTGTAGTGATTGATGTATTTTACATACAGTTATCTATAATAACTCTAGGTGATACACAACTTTGTTTAGATATTTTACCTATATCCATAATTAAGTCCTCCAGCCCCAATTGAGACTCACAAATCAATCCACTTAATCCCTCTTCTCCCATGAGAGTGTTTAGCAAATGGATTATTTTTTTAAAAACTGACTTGATGGTCATAAAACTTGGGCTTTGATGGACAGAGAGAGAGAAAACATTGTAGAAATGAGAACTCTTCAGTGAAATGCCCTATTGCCAACCCTCTCCTATTATAAACTGAAAGTTGTTAGCTGAAGTGCCATGGCTACTCTTGACTGCAGCATCTTAACACAGAAAAAAGGGAAATCTCTAAGGTAGTCAAAATTCAGCCACGTGAAACTTACTGCATTTTGTAAGACGCTGGAAACCAGTGCAGTTTAGAGCATGTAGGAGTTATTTGCTTCCTTCAGGAACATCACTAAGAATGTGGCCCCTACATTCCTCACTCGATGAAGTTCTCAAGTTGACTTCAGATCTGCCGTCACAGGGAGTACAGTGCTGTAATCGAAGAGAAGCTGACAAGAGCAAGGATACAGGCTAAACCCGCAACTAAGGGGAAAAAAATCACAATCTCCTGGCCAATGAGTATACCTGACCTCTGCTGTTCTTTGAGTATCCACGAGCAGATGTGGAACCAATAAGGCTCCCTTGCTGCAAATTTGACTAGTAAAGAATGGACAAACTACTTTAGTCAAGGAAGTTGACATTGCCTCTGCTATTTCTGCCCCTTGTTTTCCTCAGTCTCCCAATGTGTTTCACATGGTCTAAGCCTCACCAGCTAGTCCTTCTGAGCTCCAATTTCAACTTAATTTTGCCAGCTTGTTTCTTTATAGGGGGCAGATTGAAGCAAGTGCATTTTATTCTCCGTACATTATATATTCTAGAGGAATAATTCATGTGTGAAGAACAAGCAAGGAAACAAAAAATACAGATGTCATTTGCATGTTTTATGTCCTTGTGTATTAAAAACTGCCTCCCGCCTTAACAACCCTCTTCATCGTTTGTGCCTTGCAAGACAGCTTCATGGATGGGCCCTGGGGATCCTCCATATTACACACTTGCTAAAAGTGGGGTCTCTGTGTTGGCCTAGTACCAACCAGTACCAAGAATATGGAGTTCTGACTTCAGGGGCTCAGTCTACACATTCAGTAGTGGTGCTTAGCCTCCATGCTATAGGAGGCAGATGTTTTGATTGGCTGGGCTGACTGTCCAGATAACTCCTCCCACTGAACGGCCTCTCCAGAGAGTCTCTTCCAAAGCTGATAACTTGTATCTGACTAAACACTCTTTTTCATGCAATAACAATAGCAGCAAATCTGCCCAACAAGTAGAATTGTCCAACCTGACAAAAACATGTAAACTGGGTTAAACCTAAGGGTCATTGATTAAATGTAAGGACACAGTTGTCCATCAGCTCTCCCTAAAAAGGGAAAAGCCAATGATACACTAAAGAGCCATCACCTTCTGGAAGAAAGAGGTAAAAGTTCAGGGTGAGACAAATTTATGGACCCATCCCCCTACCCAGAATGAAAATTTCTGGATAAGTGAGATAAATGTTCTCATTCTGACTGTGGGGGATGCATCCATAAATTCAGTAGCAATGGGATTTTTGTAGCAGTGCATGCTGCTCACCTCCCCCCCCCATTATCAATTGTTGGGTGGGCTAAAGATGAGCTACGGTTTGAACAACCTCCTGAGGAAGTCTGTCTTATAGAATGTAGTGAACATAGGCAGAGATGCCCCACAAAACCATGTATATGGTACACTGGACCTATCAGCCCATGAAGCTGCCATCGCCTTCATGGAACGGGCTTTAATCTTGAATGGGGGAGATAACCGCCTGCAAGCTTTCTGTCCTGTTGTGTATTAGAATGAACAAAGCAGACATTTTACTAAAGGCCTTTGTCCTTTTAACTATACATCTTAATTGCTTTCTGGACATCTAAGATGTGCCAAATCTTTTCTTTCAGACAGGCTGGTTTTGGCAAAAGAGAGGAGAAATATTTCCTGGGATTGGTGGAAGAAGGAAATGATCTTAAGAGATGAATGAAAGATCTGTCCATAGTAGCACCCTTTATGGAAGAAACACAATTTTGAGGGAGGACAGAGAGGGCTCCCAATTCTGACACCCTTCATGCACGTGGTGTTATGGCCACTTGAAAGATGACCTTAATTGTTAGGAAATATAGTGACACTTCTGAAAGGGGTCTGAAAAATGGATTCAAGAGTGCACTGAATATTAGGAAAGATTTCATGAGCTACCCTGTGAATAGGAGGAGGTCTGATTAGAGTGGAAGGTAGCTTTCAGGATTATTATTATTATTATTTTGCTTTGCATGTGTGCGTGATGGGATCAGATAAGTTGACCCTCAGCTACCAGAACTGTGCATGTAACCAATGCTTAAGATCTGAGTGAGTTGTACTGTAGCCTCAGAGACAGGCTTGCTTGTAAGAATTTTAGGAGCAATTTAACAGCGTTTAATCCTGTTGTACCCTCTTGATGTGTACCATAAATCAAATCTTCTGCATATTATATACTGAAAATTGGTGAGAAGCTTTCTGGACTTCAGTGGGATTCAGAATGAGTGACTGGAGTATCCTCATGTTTTTATTATAATTTTTATTATTATTATTAAATGTGACACCTCAATAACCAGGCAGTTAGGTTCAGAGATGCTGGGTTGTGATAGAACAGATGGCCCTGTGATAGAAGATCTGGAGTAGATCATAATGTTCATGGAGCAGTCACAGACATCTTGGTTTTCAGACCTCATGGAGGACATCTGGGCCAATGTGGTGTGATCAGAATCACTATAGCCTGTTGTCCGTCTCTTAGATGGCACAGGTTACCATGGCAAAATAGGGAATGCATATATCAGAGTATTTGGCCATACCTGGGAGAAGGCACTGATTCTTTTGGCTCAAGGCACAGAAGTTGTTCTTCTTGGCACTGGAACGGGATGCATAAAGATCCCAAATTGATTTCCCAAAGGTCTGGGCTACGGGCCATTATTTTCAGCAAAGTTGATTATAGAGTTTATTTTTGTCATTTGTTTTCCTAAATGTTCTCTGAGTAATAAAATATTTTTCTTTTTTCCTTTTTTTATTTTAAAGTAAAAGCAACCCCTTCCATTCCTTACGTGAAATGAGAAACACTAGGCTCATGCTGATAGAGGTCTCTGTTTCTTTGGGATTATGACAACCCTTTTAAAGGGGTTAATTCTGTACCAATTTCCACCTTACGGATATACAATATTATAAAAAACCAGAAAATTTTGACAGAGTAATTGGATATACTCCGGGGAAAACCCAACCCAGTTTTCACATCTGTATTTATGGTACTACTAGCCAAGAGAGACTCGTCACAGGTGCATTGTGGATGTGCTGAATTCTTACCACCATCTTGTTAGTGGGCAGGCAGAGAGGCAACAAACTAAAAGACTGTCACATTAAGGTAACATTGGAATATGAGATACTGTACTTGGGTAAGGGTATATGTTCCCTCATCTGTACTCCTTTCTATCACAATGCCACTGCATGCTCCTTAAAGAACATGTTTACTTTTCCTTTCATTAACATCTTTGTGTGTGAAAATGTTTCCAACTAGATAGTTCTGAATTTGTTTCTCCTTAACTTCACTGTTGGAATTAGTGGTTACACTGGGATTCTGCCTTGAAAATTCATGGGCAAACTCTAGATAACGAGACACAAAACACTGTTTAACTGGGGCTCTTGATGCCATCATTCTTGGTCTCTTGAAAGATGCCCCCCTACTGCTCTAAGTTATTTTTAAATGCTATTTAAAAATCTTAAATAAATTGAAATAAAAAAGGCCCTGGATAGCTGCTTCTCCTGCTGGCACTGATTCTTCTTATTGAAATTATATCCTTTTCCCTAGGAAGAAAGGAAGTGTACAGGCCTGAGGCAGGATTTAACATTTTAAAGCCATGTCTAAAAGCAGTTTAGATCAGTTGGCAAAGGCTGAGGGAAAGCTGGAACAAAAAGTGGTGGGAGGATGGGATGAAGAGAAGAGCAAACAAACCAGAGCATGAAAAATAATAGCAAGGGAGTAGTTGAAAGGAGAGAACGCTGGGGCCAGGGGGAGAGAGCTGAGAGGGAATCAATGGCCAACATCAGTTAGAAAGAAGCACAAGTGGGAGTCGGGAGGGGGAAGGGAATGAATAAGAGGTAGAGAAGGGGAAGAGCAGGAAAGAGTAGTAAGGAAAGCAAGAGGGAGATAAATTGTGAGGATAATTAGAAGACAAAAGGTGCCAGATCAAGGAGGTGGAAGGGAAAATAAGATCTGGTTTTTAGAGTCTCATTTTTCTTCTAAGAATAAACCTTCCTCAGCAGCATTTGTGGTAAGGCAGTATACAATTCACTGGGAAGTATGGCAGGCTTTTACAGATAAGCTTGGATCTCATCTCCTATAGGGAGCATAGGATGGCTGTAGGCAAAAAACAAAACAAAACAAAACAAAAAAAACATGAGAGACTTCTTTACTGTCAATATTTTAAAAAGTCATTATTTGCCCAGATTAATTTTACTTTCTCGACCACCAAGTAAGCCATTTTCTGATGAGGCACTTAGTTTTGCATTCCCCTCTTTTGCTATACTGCTGTTATTAGGCAGGAGTAACTTGGCAGCCATTCTGCAGAACACTCAGTAATGCAAGATGGGGTCTCCTTACAGAACCTGTGTTCAGGATGTCACTGGGATAGAAGAAACTAATGTAGAATGGCTGTTCTACATTCAGAATTGGATATTTTGTACCTGCCTCTATTTTTTAGCAGAAAGTGCATTTACTAGACACAGGCCAAAGTCTGTCTCATATACTCCTCATGCTACCTGATCATCATTAGGGAAGTCAGTCGTCATTAATGCTCAAACCTGCTAAAAAAACGAACTGAAGTATTCAAAATCATTTCCCCAAACTTCACCGCTTTCTCCTTCTGCAGTGTTCTGAAGGTCTTATTACATACTGCAGTCTTTTCAAAGGAGAGAAATTCAGTGGCAGGAGTTCAAAATTCTAGGTGCTAAAAGACACCTGTAAAAATACCTTGTGTATACACTTTAGTAAACATTGCCTGATCCAGAGTAGGACCCCATTTTCATGCAATTCCTGTCAGGAAAAAAACCTGAAGAAAATGGCTTACTTGGTGGTCGAGAAAGAAAAGTAAAATTAATCTGGGCAAATAATGACTTTTTAAGATATTAACAGTAAAGAAGTCTCTCATGCTTTTTTTTTTTTTTTTTTTTTTTTTGCCTACAGCCATCCTACGCTCCCTAAAGGAGATGATTTTACCTGTAAAAGCCTGCCATACTTCCCAGTGAATTATATACTGCTTTACCACAAATGCTGCTGAGGCAGGTTTATTCTTAGAAGAAAAATGAGACTCTAAAAACCAGATCTTACTTTCCCTTCCACCTCCTTGATCTGGCACCTTTTGTCTTCTAATTATCCTCACAATTTATCTCCCTCTTGCTTTCCTTACTAC